ATATAGCTTTTGTTGTTGTTGTTTTTTTTTGTACTAGGGATCGAGCTCAGGACCTTGCACTTGCAGGGCAGGCGTGGCGCCATTGAGCTACATCCCCGGCCCTACATAATATATCTTAATTCTTCTCCCCTTTCCATTCCCCTTGCCTCCCTTCAATTGTTCCCCTCCCCATTGTTTCCATTTTTTCCTTTTCCCTTCTTTCTCTTCCCTCTCCTCCCCCCCCCATTTGAACCTCTTCTTCCTACTTCTCAATATCTACCCTCCACTTAGCACAATGTTTTTGAGGTTCATTTATGCTGTAACATGTTATCACTACACCACTTTATTCCTTTAGTGTGGATATACCCCATTTTGTTTACCTGCTTGTCCATCTGAGACAAGAAGATAGGGTGTGGCTAAAACTAGCTGGGAAAAGAGGTGTGATAAGACCCTGGACACACGCACAGAATAATTCTCAGAACCCTGCATGTGGACTTTTCACAAAAACTACAGCAGGTTTTTGATGGGATGACCTGGACGTGATACCAGTGTAGAAAATGTAAAAAAGGGACAGTTGCTGGGCATGGTGGTCCACACCTGTACTCCCAGCACTCAGGAGGCTGAGGCAGGAGGATCACCGTGAGTTCGAGGCCAGCCTGGACTACACAGTGAGTTCACAGTGAGCCTGAACTACAAAGTGAGACCTTGTCTCAATAAAAAGAACAGTCACCATTAAACACTTACTAGCCACTATCTACTATTGTGCCTCTCCACCCTAGGCTGTAGGATGTATTTTTAATTTTTTTTCTTCTCTTTTACTAGGCCCAAACTTGCTCTGCAGAGCCTACTTTTCTCCAACCCTTCTGCTTTTTCCTATCTTCAATAAATGTGAAACTTTGTCACTATTTGTGCTTGTTTCATTCACTTTTGGCGGGGGGGAACAGAAACAATCTCAAAACCACCTCCAGAAGGAGACTCCAGCACCCCAAAACTTGGTAGTCCATCGATGGATATTTTGAGTTATTTTCACCTTTTGGTTATTATAGATGATGCTGCAATGAATATTTATGTATGTTTTCCTGTAGACAC